GATTTGGCCCATTTTTCACATGAATCCATGTGCCTGTCAACCAGAATATTAACAAGCTGGTTAAGTGGCACGATGCTTACCCTGCTGACAACCTTTAACATCCTGCGTAATATGATGTTATAGTCTTTCTTCAGTAGCCCGGGAAAAACTAAGGAACTAAGGAACAATAGAGAATAATAGGCAGAATGCGAGAGTTAACAAATTGTAGGAGTAGGGATTGGGTTATACCAGAATGTTTTAACTTCTTGATGTAGAAGGTAAGACGGAATATTTTCTTAGAAATCGTCAAGATATGAGACGACCAGGAGAGATCAGCAGATAGAATGACGCCTAGGTATTTAATTTCCGACTTGGTTGCTATTTCAGTGCCATCTATGTTGCATACCTCGTGAGAGCCAACCAGTCTGTTTAGGTCGGATTTATGCCTAAAGGTGAAATTGACTGTTTGGCATTTGGAGGGGTTTAAGGTTAGACCGTTTTCCTTGGACCACTGGCTGATTTCTGACAGAAAGCCATTAAGTTTAGATCAGTAGCTTTGACACCTAAACTCAAGTGCAAAATTGTCTAGATCCATACTGTCTAACTCTCAACAACCTCTCTATTCACAACTCTCCTGTCGCTTGCATCTCATCAGGTAGGAGGACTAGGAATCATTATAAAAGATTATATGCTCAGTCGTACAACCAAGTACAGAAATTCAACGATACCTTATTTGATCCACCCGTGTTCTATGTGATAGAGACGCTAAAAACCTACGACTTACTAGGTTATTAGCAAAATTAACTGGCTCTTTCATTCTCTCCTATTTGTAATCTCTGGTGACACTATTTCAATTGATATATATAATTTTAGCTATCAACATTATTATCGTTATTATTTGACACTTTTTGTACATTTTTGACATTAAGGTCACTGCTCTAATACCACATAGCTGCTGTTATCTATCAATCATGTGATATTATTTTTGATTTTTGCTATTATCAAGTAAATTAGATGGAATAATGTACCAAAAGTTGAGAATTCTATACTTTATAATAAGTAGTGCTGTTCTGGAATAAAGCTAATTATTGTTATGATTATTGGATTATACTTTGGTTAAGAGTAGTTATCATTTCGATGTGGTTGTGTTCTCTGAGCTGTATAGTTAATTTGCGAAGTTTTCATTGCCCCCCTATTAGGCAACATCTTCAACGCACATTTCAATTTGAAGTGAACTTTTAGATTTCTCCACTAGTTTACTAGTAATCTCTTCTGGTGAGTGACCTTGAACGTGATTGGTTGTTTTCGTGTGTTTTTACACCCTCTTGTTTCCTTGACTTGAAGTTTGACCCTTTGTGTATGAGATTTCCTTCATGTAGATTGATAAATTTTGTCTATCTCGATGTGTTTGTTGATTGAAGCCTGGTATTCCAGTGAATCGTCAATCAACAGACATATCGACACAGACAAAATCTACCAATCGAAAAGGAGGAAATCTCACAAACAAAGGATCGAAGTTCAAGTCAAGGAGACAATCAGTTCCAATAAAAGTAGCCTAGAGGGTGTGGAAACACACAAAGACAACTAATCAAGTCCAATGTCCCTAGGAGAGATGACTAATAAACTCGTGGAAAAATCTAAAAATTCACTTCAACGAATTGAAGTATGCGCTGAAAATGTTGCCTATTAGGGCAATGAAAGCGTCGGAAATAAACTATCCAACTAGCTCACAGAACGCAACTAAATCAAAATCATCCACCTGAGCTACAAATCTTCTCCATCGCAGTTATCATTGCAGTGTAAGTGATTTACGCTATGTCAAGGGTCTCAAGGCAAAGCTGGACTGCTGGGGAAATAAGAGTGTAACAGGAGTAATAGTGTTTCTGGCGGCCTGCTTGAAACCTGGGCTACCAAAAACTTCCATCTGTCTCTCTCTATTGCATATATTTTCTCTCTTTTGGTTAGTTTTAACCGATTAAGAGATGACCTCTATTGGTATTATCTATTCTTGGGTGTATTTAAAATGTAACGTAACATCAAGAAAGAACACCCCTCCCTAGACAAATTACAGTGCCAAAGAAGAAACTGTTTATGAGTCTGGCATTCAAAGGTGACACCATTTCGGAATTGATTAAAAATCGTTTATCTAAATGTATTAAACGTACTTTTCCTGCAGCTGACTTACAACTAGTTTTTACCAGCCGAAATATGATTAGACAATGCGTCAAGGATAGATTACCGCTTTTGTCCACATCCATGTGTATTTACTCTTTTACCTGCTCTTGTGGAGCTGTTTATATTGGACGTTGTAAGCGTAATCTCCGAAAACGTGTAGCTGAACACTATCCAGTCTGGTTAATGAAAGGCGAACGTAGAACTGCGAAGTCGTCTATCTGTGATCACCTGTTAGAGTCAGGTCATTTAGCCCCACGTGATTCATCTTTCAAAGTTATCTACATGGCAAAATCGAATCGATCCAAAAGTTTACGTTTTCTTCACTTATGCATAGCCGAAGCTTTAGCTATACATGAACAGAAACCTAAATTATGTGTTCAAAAACGTTTTGTCAAACCCCTTTCTTTACCTTGGTCATAGTAATGTTCTTTCTAGTTTTTACTTTATTTTACCACTTGAATTCTTTCCACTTCACTTCACATCTTCATTCTTATCGTAATCGTACTCCTAATTTTTTAAAATTTTTAGACAACACTTGACATTTTTAAAACATTTTTGATATCAATTCACTTATAAAACAATCTTTAATAATTTTGTAATTTATCCACTTCAACTCTACCCCTTATAACATTTTAATTATCGTTATTCTTATCACATATATATATGTATATTGACTGAGCAATTATTTAGTGCCACTTAATAACCTTTTCTGTAATATAAATACGACTGTACAGCTTGAAAATGAAGTCGTTGAAAAGAAATTTCTTCGCTGAACAAAACAACTGTGTTTTTACTTATGAATAAATGGGTATTTTTCGTGATCATTAGAACCTTGATTGCCAGGGCTGTAAGGAAAGCGTCTGAACCAACTTCTTCTTTTGGATATATAGATTAGGCTTCTTAATGTAGATTTCAACAGCTAGCCTCCGCAATATGTAGTGGACAAGTCGTAATATTTAGAGCGAACAATTGTGGTTTCAATAAGTTCCTCTTCTTCAGGCTCTACAATTATAAATCCATTCATTTAAGCATACAATAGCCAGCCAGCCATTGAAGGCAAATTAGAATCATATCAGAAATGTGTATTGTGGAACAAGTATAATATGGGATGGAACAATGCTCAGCCTTTATCTTTACCTTGGCCTACAATAAAGCCAACAAATCCTCCATAAATATTAGAACTTTAAATTCCTATCACAATTTTCTTTTCTTCTTCTATTCCTTTGTTTCATTGACAAACGTTCATTTTCGACTTTTATGATTTCATGACCTTTCTTATGATTTTATTACCTTAGGTTTAAGTAGTGCTTTTCTAACTTGTTATCGTATTTACAAAATCCTGTTCATTCCACTTCATTATATTCACATTATTATTATTATTATTTTTATTATTATTATTTCACAATCATTCACCAATAGTACTTGTAATTTTACACCATATCATCGTTATTATTTTACAATCATTCTTACTGTCGTTATTTTCAACCTTGAACTTATGTCTAGTCCGCCCCATTCGTTGGTCTATTTTCATATTGTCTCACACACCCTGATTACACACACTCTCGAAACCTGTATTTTTCTGTTGACTATATTTCTATATATACACACACGTCATTAGATTAAATTATTTCATCTCATTTTGTCCCATGTTCTCATTGACCATGCATATTAAAAAAGCTAACTGACTATTGTTCCATCCCATCTTATTTATACTTGTTCCACAATACACATTTCTGATATGATTCTAATTTGCCTTCAATGGCTGGCTGCCTATTGTATGCTTAAATGAATGGATTTATAATTGTAAAGCCTGAAGAAGGAAGAATTTATTGAAACCACAATTGTTCGCTCTAAATATTTTGTTCAGAATAGATATATCACAATGGAATGGTTTGTGCATGAGCTCAGAGAGCATTGTGTGACCGGATATTATTATTATATTATTATCGTTCCCTTGGGTTACTAGTGGAACAAAGGGCTTCAACTGCACGTCTCCACTTGTTTCTGTCTTCTGCTGTACTTTTCACCTGCATCCATGTTAGTCTATACTGTTTCAGCTCCTCTTCACACGATCTCCTCCATGTCACCCTTGCACTGACGTCCCACTCGCCGCTTCCATTTCGGGTTCTACTCGAGCACTGGCCTGACGCGCGATGTCACCCAGCGAGTGTCCAATCCATCTCCACTTTCTCCTGCATATTTGTTGGGCGACTGGTTCTTGTTTTGTTTGTTCCCATAGTTTCTTGTTGGTGATATATATATATATATTTGTAAGCGTGTGTACTCACCTCAAATTATAAAAACTAGTTTGGAGTATTGTTGACAACATCAAAATATTTAAAAACGATAATGAATAATCGGATTCTAAGTTGTTATTATTTCCCTTGAACGATCAATAAGTCAATTGTGTTGTCTTCCCTCTCCTTGAAGGAGAAGTTGAGATGATTGACCTCTAAAATTGTACATCCTGACTTACCTCTTAGTTATTCATAACTGGTGGCAAGTTTTTCATAGAAACACAAGGCTAAAAAGAAAACACTTTCAGTTCAATGGCTTACATTCACTCTGTAATTTATCTTTGTGCAGTGTGAGATAAGTTAGTCTAGTATTCATCTCATCAGCTGACAAAGAATGGTGAGTCAGGGGCAAAACCTGCTATTTTGCTAAATGAAACTGCAACTTTACGTCTGGTAGGTCAATCACTATAATAGCCATTACGTCGATTCATTCCATCGTCAATCAGGTTTCCCTTTCGAATGGAACCATCTTCTTGTCACATTAACATCAGTATTATAATGCGTCTTTTGTTGCTGATTGGATTTCGTGTTTTTCTTGTTTCAAACCAGGACGTGCATATTTATCACAGACATCGTTAGTTGTTGAAATTCTAATCGATGAAGTACGTAAAGAACAAGACGAGTGTATAACAAGAGAAAATTTTGTTGGTGCTTTACAAAAAATGAGTTTAAGGTGAGTGAGAATGTGATTATTATGATTATTATTATGACTGTTCTATGAAATGATGTAATACACTCATATGCCTTGTTAGATATTGTCTTTGATGAACAATCCCCATAGAGGAGCATTCAGAAAAGACGTTTATTTTCGGTGAATTCATTTCCAGGTTATAGGATCTGTGGCAATTTCAGTTTAATTACCTTTTTAAAGATTTTCATCACAAACTAACATCGTTTAGAGGGTTTATTGAAAACCAGGGAGCATTAGACATCCGTTTCGTCCTACTCTGAGACTTTTCAACAGTACGCACCCACTCCAGAGATCGAGTTCGGGACTTTCAGGTTGCGAACTGAACTTAACGACTTAGGAATTGACTTGTTACCAGGGTATAGTCTTATGGACTTAGAATATGCAGATGACATAGTCCTGTTAGGGGAGGATGCTGACAAAATGCAGAGTCTTCTGAACACCTTGAGCAGCAATCTTCGTATGTTTGGCATGCGATTCACCCATCTAAAATGTAAGATGCTGCTACAGGACTGGACTACATCAACTCCTAGCTTAGTGATAGGGAGTGAAGTGATAGAACATGTTGACCACTTCACTGTTTGGGAAGTAGTATCAGCACCAATGGATTAATTGGTGACGAAATCTCAGCACCGATCCAAAAAGCTCGAGCTGCTTTCGCTAACTTACACCATCTCTGGCGTAGGCGCGACATCCGACTATCAACCAAGGGACGTGTGTACTGCTCAGCACTTCGCTCCGTCCTTCTCTATGGCTCTGAAACATGGCCGAAACGAGTTGAAGACATGAAAAGGTTGACTGTTTTCGACCATAGATGTCTACGATCTCTTTCTCACGTCAGGTGGTATAATAAGGTAAGTAATGTTGACGTTAGGCGTAGAGTGTTGGGCAAAGAGGGAAAATCAGTCGAAGAGGCTATACAGTTACATAGATTGAGATGGCTAATTCACGTGCTGCGCATGCCTAACCATCGCCTCCCCCGGCGGGCATTACTAGTTGATATAGGTGCAGGTTGGAAAAGAGTAAGTGGTGGCCAAACAAAAACATGGCATCAATCCATGAAATCCCTGACAGTTAAACTGAGTCAGGTAGGGAGATGCAGACTTCCGGGTTGGGGCCCTCGGGACTCTAAGAATCAATGGCTGGAGACAATAGGTGACATGGCTCAAAATCGTTGTCAATGGCTTACGCAGATGTATTCAGTCTCATATTCCTTTCCACCATTACTCATTCTGTTTCACTCTTATACTTGTCTAAATTCTATTGATTCTCTTCACTCATCTTCTTGTCTACCTTTGTGTGCTATTTGGAACGTGGCAACTCGAACTGCTGCACTTCTGTGCCAAGTTCTATGTTGAATCCAGCCAGCCTGCCAGGTTGGGAGACTGAGCTCTCTGACCATTCAGTCACTTGAGCTGGAATTCAGTAAGCCGTGAATTCCAGTTGTGTTTATTCTTGATCTAATACTGCCCTTAACAATGCCCTTGATGAGCATTCAGTTCATCTTGACATGGTGGACGCCATTAGTCACGACTTCTCGCTACAGCCTCAGGAAATTGGTGCAGTACCCGTAAGTGAGCTGGTGACTCATTCTATTTAGCTGTACAATTGCATTTATGTACATTTTTTTCATAAAAGTGATGGGTTGTCATAATCGTAGCTATTAATATTAGTGTATTAGAGTTACACAATATGATAAGTAGTTTGATAGATGAGTTGTAGTCAGGATACACACAGAAGCGAAGGAAAATATGAAATTACATGGGAATCTTAAAGTAATAAAAAAGTGGTAAGGAGTTAGAAAAACAAACTAAAATCAAGTTAATAGGAAACAATAAGGTTGTTACCATGATTGTAGAAGAGGTTCAATAACTCTCTCTCTTAAGCAGACCTCAGATTTCGTTGTTTGAATGCTTAGAGCTTCAGCGGTGCAGACGAGACGAAAGCGTATTATCTTTGGTAGGTTGTTCTTAACTTCATTGATTACTTAGAAGGACGAGTTTGTTGACATGGAATGACCAGTGTCAACAAGGTATTCAGTTATCCCACTCATTACAAAGTTACCACCACTTTTCTGCAGTGTTTCTTAACCATTCTAGACAGGATTTTTACGTATTTTTATGCTGGAACAGAATTATATACTCCTATTGACATATCGTGATAGTGCCAATTTCGGTGTGTGGGTTCCTTGGACGAATGTCTCAACCTCATCAGGAGTACTAAATCGTAGTTACTCGTCTGCTGGTGGACGATAGCAGTAGAGCCTAGGATTCGCACTTCATCCTATTTGGGACTCATCATCTGAACGCACTTACTCTCCAGTGCCTAATGATGTTCTTACTAGGACTAGAACCATTAATTAAATAACTTCAAGTTATGAGTCTTGATAATATTGAAGTATCCATTCAGGAAGCGTGTGTTCCAAAACTTAGGCCGGTCACCTAAGACCATAGTTATCAGCAGGAAGTCAAAAGCATGAATTAATAATTTCCAATCATACCCATTGTACAACATAATGGTTCTTTTGATCTGATGGATGACAATTTGAAGTTTGAAGTGATAGGTACTGGATTCAATTCTCAGTGGGAACTTCAGATAGGTCGAATTGAGCGTTCTTGATTCTACTCCTGGCCACTACCAAATATGTAACATACAGAGTATTAGTTTGCTATCGATTTTAGGCTCTTTGAACACAAGTGTTCACCTAATGTTTCCTATGTTAGGTAATAGAACATGATTGGTAATAATGAGATTAAGTGTAGAGTTGTAGGTAAGAAAAGGAATCCAATCGACGAGGCTTTGAAGCTACATCGATTAAGATGGGACTAGGATACGTATCCCCGCCTTTCTACGTTTATACATCATTATTATCATCGTTTCGTTTAATTCCTAGAGTGACATAGGGCTTCAGCCAAACGTCTCCATCGCGTTCGGTTTTCTGCCAACGTTTTCACCTGGCTCCACGTCTGCCCACATGCTTTCATCTCCTCTTGACATCACCTCCTCCATCTCACCACACACCTACAATGATGACCAGCTCGCCGCTTCCCATTTGGCTTCCACTCGAGCGGTGGCCTGGCGTGTGATGTCACTTGACGATAGTTTGTTTTCTCAGAGTATGTCCATCCAAGCCACCTCCATTTCTTCCTGCATATTTCTTGCACAATCAGTTCGTGATTGATTCGCTCATTGCCAGAGATCTCTGTTGCTGATCTTTTCTGGCTGGTCTTCTGATCTTAAGTGAAGTATTGAGCGAAGACAGCTGTTGGTGGAAGTCTGTAGTTAGTTCGAAGTGGCCTTCGTGATGCGCTGGCCGATTCTCTAATCCGTATTGTGAGTAGCGCAGACTTCACATTGGAGTTAAAAATCTGGATCTTGTTTTTCATGCTGAGTGCTGCTGATCTATCTTCACACAGACTTGAGAGTAATAAAAGCTTGCCTTGCTTTCCAAATCCTCACTTCTTTGATATCTTTGTCAGTTCCGCCTGTAGTTGAAACGATGCTTCCTAGGTAGGTGTAGAGGAGGTTTCTTCTTTCATATTTCTCCCATTTATGTTGATCGCTGTCTGTTATTGTTGATGCTGTTGGTGTTGGCCAGGAATCTTCATCACCTCTGTTTTCTCTATGTTCACCTGAAGTCCTAACCTTTATACATGCTCTTATCAATTGTAGCAACTTCAACTAATCCACTTTTGTGTCTGTAGATACGTGTAGATTTTACTCGATACATGATTTTCATGCATACATCTGCATGGTTGAATCATGATCAAAGTTCATATCCATGTATTAACTTGATGTTATTTCAGAAAATCAGAAAGTGACTGATAATGTCCATTATAAATGTCAAAATGTATAAGATAACTAGTGAACAAAGAATATTCTTTTCGATTACTTCTTCATCCGGTCCTCCTGTTATAAGTCCAAAATGATTAGAGAATTATTGTGATTAACAATATTCGTGTCTTAAATGAAATCAAATCATGAAGAGTTAACAGATTACAGGTGAAAAGCATCTGTAACTTGTAACACGCAAAGTGCAGCAGTAACGAACATGTTAAAAGAATCAGTTCAAAGTACCTTTTAATGGCGTTAAGCTGCGGTTTATATTTTCTATGCAACCTGTCGTGATTCTGAAACTGAAAGAAAAAGTACCTAGGTTAGCCATCTCTTGCCCTAGGAACTTGAATTTTTGTGTTCGGGAACACTTCCCGTTGCAATACTACGCGTCGTCAGTGAACAAAACATAGAATGGCAGTCAAACCTCACTGCGTCTCAACTTCATCGACTTCGAAAAGGTCTTCGGCAGACAACGTTGACCGAGAAGTAATTTGGAAAGTGCTTCAACCCTTCGGTGTGCAGTGCTCAAGTCTTTATCAACCTCATGCAACATTTGGCTATATGACAATGCTAAGTGTCAGGTGATCCACAAGGAAAATCAGAGTCGTTCGAAATGAATACAGGAGTAAGACAAGGCTGCCTATTATCACGGATGATATTCTTAATTGTAGTGTACTTGGTTATGCGGAAGACTGTGAGCGAGGAATGAGAAGACAGGAATACGCTGGACCACTGATAAGAAGACACCATCTAGAAGATCTGGATTTCGTGTGTGGATGATTTATGTTTAATGTCAAACAAACTCGAGGACTTCAAGGCAAAAACCAACACACTGATTGATGAGGTAGACAGCGAAGACAGAACTCCAGGTGAACAAAAAGAAGACGGAGACGGAGGTGATGATGATAACCAAACAACAGCCAGCACCAATCACCATCAACGGGAGAGATTTGACAGAGGTTACTTCCTGCCTTCACTTATGTGGCCAGGAAGCACGGTTTCAACCACAGGCACATGGCATGGATGAAGATGTCAAAGCCAGCCAGCCAGAATCGGAAAAGCAAGATATGCCTTCATCAACCAGTCTGAAAACCAGTTTTGAAATCTTCTGCACTAACTCAACACAAATGTGAATTCGGTCAGACAGCTCTTCTATACTGGTCAGACACTTGGCACACCGATCACGAAATGGATTTCCAACAAGTAGCAGACTTTTATCAACAGTTGCCACCTTCACTGGCTAGTTCCATACTGAAGGTCAAAAAGACAGCTAGCTAACTAGCCAGTCAGAAAGAATTAGCAACAAGAAACCCTGGCTGGCTGGGTATAAACCAACAACCAAGAGCCGATTGCTCAAGAAGTATGTAGACGAAAATGGAGATAGACTGATCGGACATACTTTGAGAGGGCCGTTGAATGACATCTCGCTCAACGTAGGCCATTGCTTGAGTGGAAGTTGAATGGGAGGTGACGAGTGGGTGGTCGGTGCGAGGATGACATGGATGAGATCACGAGAGTAGGAGGGGGAGGAGATGAGGGATTATGGGCAGTAGTGTGGCTATCAAGCTGAAGATGACGGCAAAGAATAGAAGAAAGTGGAGATGTTTTGTTTAAGTCCTGTGTTACACTCGGAATCCAAAGGAATAATAATACCATTGTGGATGAATAAAGGCGTCGTGAAAAACCCTCAAAACGACTACAAGGCTATTATTGGAAAATCTCTATCCATCATCTACTGGGTACCGAATAACCTGCCGAAGATGTCTAGATACCGAATACCGAAAACTGTAGAAGACACTGCACTTCGCCTAAAATAATCAGAGCTCTGTGTGCAAAAGAAACAGGTCCCTGTCTTCTGTGGAATTTAAAAATTCATGAATTCTGTATTGTCTTTGGTACCTTAATTTATCTGATATTCAGTTTAGTGTTATTTCGATGCATATTATCACACAAACACATACTGTGAACTATGATCTTATTGTTCATTGTTCACTAATTTTTGTATTTTGAGGTCAGAAATTATCAATTTTTTAATATTTAATCAATCTATAAATAATATGTACAATTCCATAATTAATTTGTTTATTGAGCCACACTTCACACACAGTAGTTTTTTACTGGATGACGACGTTTTGAATACAATTTACTATTTTTCACATTCACATCAAGTAATACGCTCTGGACAACTTTGGAGCTTGGCTTTTATAGACCTCGTTCAGATATCCGGCATAGGTGTTGTAGTCCGCGTTCCAAAGATGTATGCAGTAACAATCGATATGATTGTGAATAACGTCGTCATCCATTAAGTAATACTGTTTCAGTTTGTGTGTGTGTGTGTATGCGATCTTCTTTCACATAATTAGGCAGCATCGTTTCAACTACAGGCGGCAAAGATGAGGATTACAGAATATACACATTGGATCATGGGAATTATTAAAAAGACGGTTGTACCGAAAAAAAATTTTTATTTTCGACGAAGTCACCGTCAACTAGGCTGTTTTTTTTCCTTCACGTTCCTCAGTGGAACATAGGGCTTCAAGCTAAAGGCTTGGAGTTCCTGTAGCAATGTTTGTTTTACAGGATGAGGTTGCTAGCCTCATGCCCAACCTTTCCTCTTCACCAGCATTATTTCTGGCTTAGCGAAGTAAAGGAGTGCGTCTGTGGCCGGGGATCGAACCCCGGACCATGTACATGGTCAGCGAGCGTCCTAACCGCTATGCCTCCGACGCACCAACTAGGCTGTACGTTCGTGTATTTATGATAAATGGGTGGGAAAGTTCCAGAATAATTTCCGGTCAAGGGTCAAATTAATAAAATGACAATTAGGAATTAAAATGCCATAATAAACACGGAGACATATAAAACTCAAACGAAGTAGCATCATAATTACTGAGAAGATTGACATATTGTGTAATTGGGGGTTAGAAATGTAGAAATAACAAAAATAGACGGGATGTTTCGATAAAACAAATCTAATGGGATCGTAACTAATGTGACGAATAATTGTTTATGCAGTTAAGGATTGAATATGTAGAAATAGTAAAATGACAAAATAAACAGGAAATTCGGATATAAAAATACGGTAGTGCAAATAGGGATTAAGAAGGACATAAAAATAACATGATTAAACGGGAAGTTTGGATAAGAAAGGCGATGGGATAGTCACTATTAAAAGAATTACCTGTTTATGATGGTCATGGCAGGGACAAGGGTTGGACGTATTTCTTTTGGACATATAGCGTGTCAAAGGACCTTTATTAAGCTGAAATTGGTATGAAGATCTTCTGCATTCAGCGAAAAGAACATAATGTCAAGTCAGTCACGTAAAGCATCTTGAAAAAGCTGCTGGGGACTTTCATCGACTGTGAACTTCACCGCTTACCGGAAATCAAATGGGTCGACTGGAAACGACAAGCATCAAAGAACTCTGTCAATGAACCAACTGGCAGCCTATCGCTAGACAAACATACCGAAGGAAGCGGAGATGGATTGAGCATATACTGAGGACACCGTTGAGTCAAATCACGCCCCAAGTCCCCAGCTAGAATCCGATTAAGAGACGACGAGTTGAGCGGCTGTCTGAGAGTGCCCGTGAGGAGTTTGTTTGAGGAGGAAATTAATGCACCTTGCACAGAACAGTGTGAAACTGAGATGTTCTGCTGAACCCATATGTTCCTCTCAGAAATCAAGAGAACAACTATAAATAATTAATACTTTGTGTGTTATATATCCGATAAACAAATTAATATTCAAGTATTGTTTAGTAGGGATTTGATTGATTTATTACAGGATTTCCTCATCAGCTGACATTGGTTAGAGAACCACTGGAAAACTAACCAGGGAGTACTGGACAGCTGTTTTGTTCCAGTTTTAGACTCTTTAACAGTACACCCCCACTGGGTCCTAGTGGCTTGTAACCAGAAAGTCCCGGGTTCGAACCATGGTGGTGGGTGCATACTGCTGAAGAGTCCGAAGCTAGGCTGACAAAACAGTCAGCTGTCCAGTACTCCCTAGTTGGTTTTCCAATGGTTCTCTAACCGATGTCAGCTCATGATGAAATCCTGTAACCAAACAAATTGGTGTTGAAGGTCATTACATTTTGTTATAAATGACTAGAAAGATGAGTCCTAAGAGCGAAGTAATTGCCTTATCGCAACTTAATATTCATTTCCGATTTCTTTAACTTTCTTTTTAATTAGGCGACCAATGCAAACTGTAATGATAAAACAAGGTGTCATATTATGGGTTACAAATTTATTAGAAAATATGAACAATTTATCCGATTACACTTTGGAATATGCTGTTGCTTTATGCATGAATTTATGCTTAAGAAGTTCTGGTAAGTATAATTTGGGTTTTTATTCCTTCGCCGCTTTCCAAGTGGAAGATTGGGCTTCAAACTATTTCGAAGTTTCGGTAGCGTTGGTATTCTTGTGTGTTTAAAGGGTTTTGGTTACGCACCATCATGCCTAATCATCCCTCCTTTCCGGGATTACTACCGGTTGGTAAACTAACTAGGTGAGGTTCAGAGGTGCGTTAGCCGGGAGTCTAATCCGGACTACCCATGTTTCTGGCAAGCATTTTAGCATTCAAACACCGACTCATACAAGCTAGATCCTCGACCGGGAATCGAACTGCGCCTTCTGTGTATGACAGGCGGAGAGATTCACCAATATACCATCTAGGTAAGTATCGCAATATATAGCACCACTATTAGTTATTGTCACCGGTGAGTATCTATCTTTAATATAAGTATCTATCCTCCTCCTACCCAACTTTACAGACCTAGCTATTCACGACTGCATACTGCAAATTCAGACAGTTTTATCCTGTATTCAGTCAGTTTATTATTATTGTTTCCTTTATTTCCTAGAGGAACATAGGGCTTCAGACGCACGTCTCCATAGCGTTCGGTTTTCTGCCAACGTTTTCACCTGGCTCTACATTTGCCCACATGCTTTCATCTCCTCTTCGCATCACCTACTCCATGTTAACCCACCCTCGCACTGACAACCAACTTGCCGCTTCCTATTTGGGTTCCGCTCAAGCGATGGTCTGCCGTGTGATGTCACTCACCTGATGGTTTTTTTTTTTCTCAGAGTATGGCCAATTCAATCCACCTCCATTTCTTGCTGCAAATTTGTTGCACAATTGATCCTCGCTGGGTTGAGTTGGTTCATTCATCGCCAGAGATATCCATGTTGCTCATCTTTTATGGTTATCTGATCTTTAGCGAAGTATTGAGCGAAGACAGCTGTTGATGAAAGTGTATAGTTTGTTCGAAGTGCCCTTCGTGACACGCTGGCCATGTCTCTGGTCCGTATAGTAAGTAACACTGACTTCACATTGGAGTTGAAAATCCGCATCTCATTTTTTATGCTGAATGCTGTTGAGGCTCATACAGACTTGAGAGTAATTGTAGCTTTCCTTGCTTTCCCAGTCCCCGCTCTGAGGATATCCTCACCAGTTCCATCCGCCTGTAGTTGAAACGATGCTTCGCAGACAGGTAGGTAGGTAGGTGAAGGAGGTTGATTCTTTCAGATTTCTCCCATTTATGCTGATTTTTGTCTGTTGTTGTTGTTGGCCAGGAATAGGAAGAACTGAATCCTACTACATATTAACTATCTCAAAGGATTTCAAGCTATATCTGCTTCTTCACCACTATTAGCAAGATGCCTAGCAATAGTACGGTTGAAACCATCAGTTCTTTTGAGAAGTAGTATTTTCCGTGTATGTTCAGTAAAGTGCTGCGAGTAAAATTAAATCTCTTATCTTTTTTTGTATTCCTTTACGTTCCAAATTGGGCATCGGGCTTTAAGCTTCAGCTTTGATGTTTCGGTAGCAACGGTTTTATTTTTTTACGGGGTAAGGGTGCTAGTCTTACGCCCAACCTTCCTCTCTGGCTGGCTGGATTCAACATAGAACTTGGCTGCACCGAAGTGAAGCAGTTCGAGTTGCCACGTTCGAAATAGCACACAAAGCTAGACAAGAAAATGAGTGAAGAGAATTAATAGAATTTTGACAAGTATATGAGTGAAACAGAATGAGTAATGGTAGAAAGGAATATGAAAGATTACAGAGACTGAATACATCTGCGTAAGCCATTGACAACGATTTTGAGCCATGTCACTTATTGTCTCCAGCCATTGATTCTTAGAGTCCCGAGGGCCCCAACCCGGAAGTCTGCATCTCCCTACCTGACTCAGTTTAACTGTCAGGGATTTCATGGATTGATACCATGTTTTTGTTTGGCCACCACTTACTCTTTTCCAACCTGCACGACCGAAAGCTGCTACCTTGACGTGGTGGTCGGGCTTGCATATCGCAATGACCCAACGAGCTACACTGGCTGGAACTTAAGTTCCTACCCAATCCAATGCCATGACTCAAACAAAATCACAATGTATCATGCCGGATCGGTCGGGGCCCGGATTAACAACGACCGCGCTTCCTGCTACCGTGTCACAGGGCAGAAGTGATAAATATGCTACTGAAACACACCAAATAAAAAAGAACAAACAAAAACAGGCCGCGTGTGACAGGCCTCAAGCAGTTGTCCCCTGGGCTCTGCGGTCACGCAACCAACTTCCACGGTGTGGGCAGCCGGGAAGTAAAAATCGCCCTCACAATCCGAAGTGCACGCGAAACCTCTCTAATCCTCACTCATCTTTGTACCCATCTTCATCTCTATTATCTTGCCTTCCTTCTACCAATGCAACTCCTCTACTTGATGGCTCTTCACCTTCCTCTCTACCGGTCTTACTACCGGCTTAGAGAGGTTTAGGAGTACGTTGGTGGCCGGGGATCGAACCCCGGAACACATAAATCTTTAGCGAGCATACTACCCTCATTTGTCTTTACTCTGTTCAAATTGTTGGTTTCATCCTTTTCAAATTTACCTGGGGAGGGGTGAATTTGTGCTTGCAACATTCATATCACTTACAACACAGTTGATAACTTATGAATTACTGAACAGCGCTTTCTTTAATAGTTCTCGGTGTTTGGTGATGACCACAAGAGAGATAGATAAAATTCGTCAGATCTCAGTATAATCACATTATAGGTCAGGATTTATTGACTAAGAAACCTGTCAATTCACAATAAAGCATGAATATTGTCACATGTTGTTGACGAGTATCTGACTTGCATCACGTTCTGTACTGTTCATTATAAAAACAATATTAGAAGCCATGAGAAAGTTGCCTGAGTAGGTTATAATATGCTTGTGATGAGAAATGACAGCCCCGCAGTAAGCTCTTCATACAAGCGCAACTCCCAAATCGCTGTTTATCCTTTCTGGTCGGTCATTCGGTGTTCAGTACCGAGAGAGAGAAGGGAGCTGTTGATGAAAGTCTGCAGTAGCCTGTTTCAAAATGGTATTCGTGACGCTCTCTCCAATCCTCTGGACCATATGGAGGCACTGATTTGACATTGATGAAGAGAATTCGAATCTTGTTCCTTGTGTATACTATCTGCAGTAGATTTCTATACTGAGTAATTCAGAGTAATGTATACTTCTCTTGCTTTCAAGTTCTCATCCGTGCTGCTTTTAGTTGAAGCGATGCTGCCTTGGTGAGGTAACTGAAAGAGACGACTTCCTTTGGATCTCTACCGTTAACGGTGATTGGTGCTTGTTGTTCTTGTTGTGTTGGTAGGTTGTATATCTTCATCACTTCTGTTCATCTGAAGTCCCGTTTTGGCTGCTTCTTCGGCCAAATTATTAGTTTACACCTGTAGATCTTTGAGTTTGTATGACATTACAGATCAGTAATTCGCTAAGTCCAAAACTTCCTCAGTCTTTGTTACCACAAAGTAAACCTGAATTGGTTACAGGATTTCACCATGAGCTGACATTGGTTAGAGAAGCATTGGAAAACCTACAGCGAGTACTGGACAGCTGGCTGTTTCGTCCTAGTTTGGGACTCTTCATCAGTGCGCACCCACAGTCAAAGTCCGAACCCAGGACGTTTTGATTACAAGGCGAGCTCGTAGACCATTAATTTTTTTTAAATTTTGATTATAGCTTGAAACCATACAGTATTTTTGGTACAGGTAGGGAATTTTCAGCACATGATATCGGTAGCCCAAATTTAGCAGGCCGACCACTGATATCGGGTGTTCGTCGGCCGGAGATCGAACCTCAGACCATGTGCGTGGTCGGCGAGCGTCTCAACCGCTGTGCCACCGATGCACTGGGACACGATCCAATGGCCCATGAATTCCAACTTCTGCCAATTCACGACATAGCGCAACCACTAGCCAATGGCTTCAGCGAGTATTTGTCCTCACACCCAACTTGCCGCGCCTTACTGGTCGTGGCTTTCCAAGGTGCAACAGGTCGGGTGTGAGGACAAATACTCGCCGAAGACATTGACTAGCGGTCGCACTATGTAGTGAATTAGCAGAAGTTGGAATTCATTGTCTGGTCATTGGATCGGGTCCCAGTGGCTTAATGGTCTACGAGCTCGTCTTGTTACCAAAACGTCCTGGGTTCCAACCATGGCGGTGAGCGCGTACTGATGAAGAGTCCCAAACTAGGACGAAACTGCCAGCTGTCCAGTACTCCCAGGTTTTCCAATGGTTCTCCAACTAATGTCAGCTCGTGATGAAATCCTGTCACCAACCAATCAAATTCCTACAAACCAATACTGAAACTTGAATGCCTACTCAATTCTTCGCTGTCTGTCCAGTTCACCACGGCCAGGAAGAACATCGGTGATATTAGGTAGCCTTGTCTTGTTAGTAACTTTACTTCGAAAGCTTCTCTGAGCTCCCCATTGAGAACCGCTTGAAATGTGGCATAATTATATAAAGATGTTGAACTAGGTTTATAAATATTTCCGCTCTACACTCCATGGTGTTGAAACAGTTTCCAAATTACTTTACTGTTGGCTCTACCGAAGACCTTTTCAAATTTGGTAAATTTGAGTTAGAGATTCAGAAGGGACATGATTTCCTTCAAAGTTGCAGATACGTGGTGCTGACGATTGCCAACTGGCAAGAAACCTAGATGCAGCTAAGGCTTCTTGCCGATTGCCTCCAACCACCTAATACCAGAAATTGACAGTGTACCGTGACGGCGAGCCACCTACTGGCATGGTAGCCACATTGCAGACTTGACTGATAGAATTCAATCTACACCAAGCAAAGGACTAGACACATTACACTAGTTAATAACCAGTGCCCAATCAAAGTTCCCAATACAGTCCTACAGGAGGTCAATCGCGCTCAGTGGGAACGTCTCTGACTTCAGCACTCACTGGGTGTCGCTGGTTGGAATCTCAGAAGGAGGGACATGTGTTCCTTCAAGATTGCAGGTACGCCCTACTGACGAGTGCC